TAAACTATATTACTCCACACACAAGAACTCTCGTAGTTTATTTTCTCCACTCAAGTTTACCAGCTGACTTGATTGTAGGAGGAACCACGGGGGAACCAATCCCCGTCCTCTCACGAATTTCTACATGTGCATGCATCAACTACTCAACTCAGAATCGGATATTCAGGGAAGAAAGCGGCTCCTCATCAACTTCAGCCTCATCCAACCATTTAATTGACTGTGTGATCACTTAACATCAACAGAAATTATTAAAAAATTTAAATATATGAATATAAATTTGAAAAAAGATTTAAATTAATTTAGAACAATATGTAATTTTGATTACATTTAATCAGAACAAAAGAGGTTTAAAAAATTTTTATTAAGCATATTCAATGTAAAATCTAAAATTGTGTCCATTACAATCGATCTCGAATAATTAAAACATCGAATGGTTTAACCAAATCAATTTAAGACAACATGCAATTTAAGTTCATCAATTTGACCAGAACAAATGAATTATGAATGATTAAATTTTACCTTTTTGATACAAAATTCAAAATTGCATTGATTAAAATATTGATCTCAAAAAGCTACACCTTGAACGAAAAATAAGTAATTTTTTATATCCAAAAAAAGACATCGACCTAAAATCATCAATTTCATTAGAAAAAAGAGATTAAAAAGATTAAAATTACCTCATTGATGTAAAATCTGAAAAAATGAGATTAAAGAGATTAAAAAGTTTCACCTTGAACAAAAAATCTGTATTTTTATATTAAAAAATGAGATCTATCTAAAATCAGCAAGAATAATTTCATAAATATAAAAAAGAGATACTATTATAATGAAAGTTATATTTACCTCTGTGATGAAAATCATAAATTCTATCAACTCGAATTGCTCTGCAAAATTTTCACCCTAAATGAAATTATTATAAAAATTTAAATATATGAATATAAATTTGATAGAAGAGATATTAAATTAATTCAGAATAGTATGCAATTTTAATTTACAATTTAATCAAAACAAAAGAATTAAAAAATATTAAATTTCATATCTTCAATGTCAAATCTGAAATTGTTTCAATTACAATCAATCTCGAATAATTTAAACCTCGAATGATTTAACCAAATCAATTTAAGACAACATGCAATTTTAGTTCATCATTTTGACCAGAAGAAATAAATTATAAATAATTAGAATTTACCTTTTTGATGTAGAATCTAAAATTGCATCAATTAATATCGATCTTGAAAAGCTACACCTTATATGAAAAATAAATATTTTTTATATCCAAAAAAGTAATTGATCTAAAGTCATCAATTTTAAATGATTAAAAGTTTCACCTTGAATTTAAAATATCCGAAAAGAGTTTAAATGATTAAAAGTTTCCTCTTCAATTTAAAATATGAAGTTGCATCAATTAATCAATCCTGAAAAGCTTCACCTTGAATGAATAATCAACATTTTTTATACTGAAAAAAGGGATCGATCTAAAATCATCAATAATATTTTTTTTAAAAATTTTAATGAAGAGAAATTATTAAAATCAAAATTATAATTTGACTTTTTAATGTAAAATCATAAATTCCATTCTAATTTCCCTCCAACATCTTCACCCTGAACAAAATTATTTAAAAAAATATTATAAAATAAAATTACTTTAGAATCATTCGATTTAGAACAATATGAAAATTTAATTCATTAATTTAGTCAGAAAAAAGAGATATCAAGAAGTCTAAAATTTTACCTCTTCGATGTTAGCCCTTGACTATCATTGTGAGAATTTTCACCCTTTTCTCGCCTAAAATTATCCGTGAGATTTTCTTGAGAAATAGGTTAGTTTCTATAAATAATAGTGCAGTTAGTTTCTATAAATAATAGTGCAATTTTATAAATAATAATGCAATTTTAGGATTTTTAACTATACACATTAACAAAATTTAGAGGACTTTTTAGAGAATATAAGATTCAGTATTTAAGATGAATGGTTAAAATTATTTTGAATAGAGATGGACTGATGAGATGATATTATACATGTCAATTAATAGTTGCTATTTTTAGGACTCATGTTTATGAGCCTACTATCTAATCTTGTTTTGATGATTTATAAATAATCCCTAATATCGTTTGTCTAGTGTTTGTATTTGCCTATTAGGTAATTTAGACAAACAACATAGTTGGAGGTTGGTTAGATTGAGCCTTCACGATCATATCAAATGGAGGTTGGTGGAAATAGTAGAGTGAAGCTATGCATTCAAGTCAAATATTCAAGTTCAAGCTTCATCCATGTTTAGCAAGATGAGCTTAATTGAAGATCAAAATTGCTTGGGTATAGTTTTTATAGTTTAGGGTTTACACTTATGTGTTAATACTTAGAGCTCAATCATATACACACATACACGTTTTGGTTTTTATAGCTTTCAAGTTTAAATACGAAACAAATAAACTTATTTATATACTCACATACATGTTTTATATTTATCATTTTTGGTTTTAGAAAAAAATATGTTTAGCCACATAAACTTGAAACGAATATGCGTATATAAATATATTTTTCATATTTATATGTGCTTAAAATGATTTCATTAATTTACAAGTTTAAATTCAATGAAATCATGTTTATTGCATAATATATGCATTTTTGAGAAAATATTATATTCTTAGTTTATGGACTTAATAACACTAGTTTACATACTTTCCTAAGTCTATAAAGCCATACAAAAGTTTTGAAACTTTATTTTAAGTCAAAATATCAAAAACATGTGTTGTTTAGTTTTCATGTTTTGGACTATTTTGCAAAATGAAGACATTTCACAAACAGGGAATGCAATTTAAAAAATTCTTTTTGTAACATGTTTATTTTCATGTTTATAAATATTTATTAAAGTTTTACATTTTTTGGAATTTATTTGCTATTTTTAAAGACACTTCAAAACTCAGATTTCATACATGAACGGTGCATGTGCATGTTTATAAGTCGACTTGTGTACTGTAGCAAGTCGACTTATGATCTGTTCTGGAAAATACAGTTTACGTCTACTGAGTCAACTTATATATCTAGCATGTTGACTTATATATAATAAGTCAACTTATGATTTTTTCAAGTCAACTTATATGAGTTTTCCAGCCTGTAACGGCTAGTTATAAGTTGACTTATGAACAGTAGCAAGTCGACTTATAACACTGTAACGGCTAGTTTCCAGCTTTGCACAGTTTTTGGTTTTTTGTCTTTTGCTAGGTTTTTCTTGAGCTTTGGGGTTTGTTTCATGAGCCTATATATACCCCATGCCTACAATCTTCTAAATTAACTAAGAAAAACTAGAATTGAGTTTTTGGGAATGTTTGTTTAAAGTTTTCAAAAGTTTTTAAGATTTGTTTTTGTGAAGATAGTTTCACAAGAGGAGGAGACCATTCTTTTGGTGTTCAGGCTTTCAATCTACATCTCTCTCACTCTTATTTTCAGAGAAGATTTCTTAAACTCAATCTCTAGCTATTTATAAGTTTTGTTTATGATTTTTATAAGCTAGATTTCAATTAAGTTTGTATTACTTGTTATCTTTCACATACAACCACTTAAGCTTAAGTTATTTTTACACATTGTATAATTTGGGTTGTGAGTGTGATTGAGTGAGCTTACACTTAGTTCTCATCTTGTATTAGAGAACAAACCATTTGTTATTTGTACTTTATTTGTGAGATCGCTTTGTAATACACTTGTACACTGAAAGAAGTGTGTGGTAAGAGACGTGATCGATTCCAAAAGGAGTGGGGTCGGTAGTAAAACCTAGAGAGAGGTGGTAATTCCTAACACTTGAGGAAGGCAACATGGGCTAGGCCAACACTTAAAGGGTGTAGAGTGTGATTGCAAGAGTGTGAGCTGTGAAAGTTTTTGGTAATCTAGAAAACCTAGATTGTAAGGTGTAAAGTTTTTGGTTAGCGTTGAAAACCGATTGTTTTAGTAGATTCTCCCTGGGAGTGGGGAGCGGAGACGTAGGTCGGAAGGACCGAACTCCGTGATCATATCGTTTGTTTGCGCACGTTTTTGTTGGCATCTTTATCTTGTGCTCATTATATTGTTATATCGTCATTGGTTCATGTTTATTTCACCCTTATTTATTCTCTTATCCTTGCATATCTTATTGCACAATCATACTTGCTAGGATAATAATTAATAAGTTTTTTAAATTAGCAGTAATATCGGATTAGATTAGCATATTACCCTATTCACCCCCTCTAGGGTAATTTTAGTTATTATTATTTACATGATGTTTGGAATTAAAATCTCATAGAATTTATTTATTGTGCTCAATTTTATAATGTTCTTTTCTATTTTGGAATTTGTTACAAATTATATGGTGATTGAAGAAATATAGGAATTTACTAAATATAGAGTTTTTTAAATTAATGGCTGAAATTAAATGGAGGATCTTATTTATTACATGGGCGATTTAGAGAGGAGGGCACATGTCAAAATATTTTGTGAATGGGGAATCTAATGTGTCATCCTCTGGTGAATTTGAAGGCTTTTTGGTTTTACTTACCTATAGTAAAAAAATTAAGGAACCAATGAGTGTATTACTTAAATTAATAGTCATTTCATAGAATCCAACATGAATGCTAGATGCTTGGAAAACTATAGCTAGAGTCAGGCATATGAATTCCATAAAAAAAAGTAATATTATTCTGGTACTTGTTACCTTCAGACCATTGCACACACATCAGGCATGTGACTCAGCCAACAATATATATAAATATGGTCGACAAGAAAATAAAAAATATTATATATACGCAAGGTTAAAGCTAACTATACAAGATATAATTTCTGGATTATAAGCAATAATTAGCTTAATACTAGGGCTTATTTTGTCACCAAGGCCTGGCAGGGTGATCCTCGTTGCCCACATTGCAACCTAGTGATAGAAACTCAAGATTACTTGTTTATCCACTGCCCATTTGTAGGTTCTGTTTGGTCTTCTCTCCTTCCTCTTGTCCCTGAGGTAAGCTGGCCTCTTACCATGAAGGCTTTGACTCTTGTTTACAAAGACCCCAACTTCATCTCACACATAAAAGCTTTATGGAAGTACCTGTTACCGTGCTACTACTGGGGAATGTGGAACTGCAGAAATAACCTGATATTTAGAGATATTCAAGCTAATCCCTCTCATATTGCATCTAATATCGCTAGATATACCATGTTTTGGACAGGGGCTAAAGATGATAGGCTTGCAAGGCGGCTTCGAAGGGCAGTTCACAATCAGAAGTTGCAGGATATAGCCAAGGAAAATATAGCAGGGGATATCAGTGACAACTTCTCAAAGAGTACTAGTTAATGGTGGTCGTTGTATACTTGCAGCCTAAGCTTTTTTTGTTTTCTTTTGACATGTATTGTTTTTTTGTTAGGATTTTGCAGTACCAGGCTCCGTATGTATGTTTGTTTTGTATCCTTGCCTTGGTGGATGTTACTTGGTTTGACGGCTTGGTAGGTGATGACGAGGTCCGCTCCTTATCAGCTCGCTCTCACTAAGTAATTTCCCCTAGGTTCTTTGGTTTCGGTTGTATCAGACTTTTTTTAGTTTAAACCAAAGATTTAAATGTAGCATCATTTAGTTGATTTTGATGCGTTAGACTGGGCCCGTTTGTTTCATTTTTTTTGAAGGAGAAAGTTAGAGGAAAGCTGCTAAATCTGACAAAAACTGTCAGTTTTGGCAGGCTTTCCCCTTCCCATTTTTGCAAACAAACAGCCCCTAATGGGTATCATATGTCATATGAGAGGATTCCCTCATATACAATGATGTGGCACAATCTCCACCAAGTGAATAAAGTAGGAGAGAGAATGCCTCATAAATACACTTGGTGGAGATTGTGCCACATCATTGTATATAAGAGAATCCTCTCATATGACATATGATACCCATTAATCTATATATATATATATATATATATATATATATATATATCACTAGTAGAAAAATGGACAAACTAGACGGAACAAACTAGACGGAATTTTTTTCCGTCTAGTTTGGAGCAAACTAGACGGAAAACATTCCGTCTAGTTTGTTCCGTCTAGTTTGAGTCAATCTAGACGGAAATTTCCGTCTAGATTGACAAACTAGACGGATTTTTATTTTTTTTTAAATAAACACTCAATCTAGACGGAATTTCCGTCTAGATTGATGAAACCTAGACGGAAATTCCGTCTAGGTTGCCTAAAAAAATTAGCACCTCCCCCTCTTTTTTTTCATTTCCCCGCCTATTTTTTCATTTCCCCGTCTCTATTTTCTCCCCTCTCTCTCTCTCTACAAACCCCCAAACTGGCCAAACCCTCTCTCTCTCTCTACAAACCCCCAAATCTCTCTCTCTCTCATCTACACGCCGCCACCTCATCCCCCCCTCCGCCTTCCACCTCGGCCTCTCCAGCCCCAGCCCAAATCGAGCCGGACGAGCTCTCCCTGCTCTTCAAATCACAGCAGTAGGTCCTTGGCCAGGCCCAGTCCGTCCTCTCCCCCCCCCCCTCCGCCGTCTTCTTCACCGGCGTCAGCAAGTCCGGCTCTCCCAAACCCTCGCCTCCCTCGGCCTCTCCCGCTCCTCCTTCCTCCCCCCGTCGACGCTCTCCACGGTGACATAGGTGCCCTCTTCCCCGAAGACCTCCTCGTCCTCATCTCAAAGTCCGGCTCCTCTGACGACGCTGATCTCCGTCACCTCCGTGGCCAGGAACCCGCTGGCCGCGGCGTGCGACATGAACCCGCTGGCCGTGGCCGTAATATTTATCCTTTTTATTTTGTTATTTGCTTAATGAAATTATTTTGCTATTTTTATTCTCATGACAATATCTCTCTCTTAGTTTAATTTGTTTGAAAGAATATATCATTTAATTGTTCTCAATTTCTAACTTCTGAGGTCTAAAATTTTGGGTGATTGGCTTCTATATGAGTAAACTTATTTTATATCTCACTTATAATTATTAATTAAATTAGTTCTAACTGATCATATTTGATGACTTGGAAATGTTGATTAGCATATTGATGTTCTATGTATTTAGATTGAATCATTCAGTTGGTACAAATTTTCTTGAATGATAGTGTTGTTGTGCATTGTAATTGTTAATATAGTTCTTTATCATGTTTTGTTTTCTCTTTTAGATTGAATCATTCAGTCGTTACTTTATTGCAACTTCCTAGTTATGTTAAATTTTCTTGCATGGAACTGCCTGAGGATACTATATTAGAAATACCATGATTATATTGGCCTTTAGAATGGAATGACAGTCATTGGTGTACTTGGTAGGATTAATAGATGACCTATATCTCCAACTTGCAGATTTAACCATTATTAGTATTCATATCTAGTTTTTATTATATTCTGCGAGCTTCTTCAAAGTATGATCTGATGATGTGAGGAGCCACTTGCAGAGTAATGCTATGTGCTTTGTAAAATTAGAATCTTGATGCGCAACGTCTTATGTGAGGGTTTGTTAAGAACTGAACTTTGAGTTAGGCAACTTGACTAAAATGCATAATCAGTGAGAAGTTTGGTCATCTAGTGTCAATTTAATTGTTGCATTTGTTTGCTTAGTTCAGGGCAATATCCTGAAAGCATTTTTACCCAGAGTACTCTTATTTAACCGTCTTGAGTTTAATTGCATTGCAGGGTGGAGACTTGAGATATTGTCAAAAGTTCTCTCATTATAAACCTCCTCGTGCGCACCATTGTCGTGTTTGCAAAAGATGTGTTCTGAGGATGGTATGTATCATGTCTCAGTTGTCTTGTTGATTAATAAACCTTTTGTCGCTTTCTAACATTATCTTGTAATGCCTGCAGGACCATCACTGTGTCTGGATAAATAATTGTTTTGGGCATGCAAATTACAAAGTTTTCTTAGTTTTTGTGTTGTATGCTGTGATTGCCTGCATTCACTCTATGGTTGTATTCACATTTCCCCTTTAATTACTCATGTAGATGATTGTTACATTGATAGGTGGGCTAATTATCTCCTTTTCAGGTTCTTCTCTTTGGCAGTGTTGTTCATGATATGCACAAGGATCAACAGCAGAATGGAGGCTCTTTTAGGACATCATATGTAAGCAACTTTTAATGCCTCATGCCTCACATTGCTTTGCCACTTTTTAACATCAGTGATTAACTTGACAGATTATTTGTGGTGTTTTGCTTATTCCCCCTACATTGGCGTTAAGTGTTCTTTTGGGTTGGCATATCTATCTGATCTTGCATAATAAGACAACTATAGAGGTCTGAAAATTCTGTGAGTAGTTTGTTTCCTATGACCTAATATATCTCTATTCCTCACAAGGTGCTGATGTGTTCTGCGGTATCATGAAGGAGTGAGGGCCATGTGGTTGGCAGAAAAAGTTGGAAATATTTATAGACATCCATATGACCTTGGTGTCTATGAAAACCTAGTTTCGGTAAGATTCTATGCTCTTTCATTTGGTGTGTGTCTAATGCATTTTAGAATCTTATGTGGCAATCTTTTTACAAAATATACATGTACGATAAGATACAAAGATATTAAGAACTTGGAAAAAGCTAGATGTTGGTATGGAATGTATAATAGCAACACGCACACAATGCCTAAATATGCACAGATGCAGATGCAACTATGATTGGTAGAGCAATGATACAAATGATGGAAATGTTTAGTATATCAATACATTGTGCACATAACAATTTTAATTACACTTGTCATCTCCGGTATGTTGAGTGTTTTCGAGTTAACCAAATTGACGTTGCATTGTCCATCATTCACTTTTACTATACAAGCACAAAGTGGGGAGTTAGTTCCTAGCTTTTACTTATTCAGTCTAAGCTTATATAACATACAAGTTTCGTATAATACATTTTTGTCTATTAATTCTGAAATCCGAATCCTGTAAGTTCTAATAATTTTCTCCATCTTTCCACTATAAGATATTGTCTTCTCTAGCCAATCAATAATGCATGCTCTTTCTACAGCCTTGGGTTATATTTTGATTTTCTTATTAGTTCTTCTACAAAGTTAATGCTTTCTAAGTGTATTTCATGGCATGGACTAATTGATGTTGAATTTTGTATAATGTAGGATCAAGGAGGAAGAAACATGATGCTTCAATAATTTGGAGGAGTAAATGCAATTGGATTCTATAAATTATGCAAAGTTCATCAAGTTATGTAAACAATTGTATTCTTTATAATCTATGTAAAAAATTTATGTATTTTTCTAGTATTTTGGTGGATGTATGTTTTAAATATAATTATATTTGATATTAAAATATAATTAGATTGATTGTGTTGGATATGAATATGATTTGGTGTTGTGCAATAGTATGAACATGTTATATTATATAGCGTGCAATGTAGATTTTGCAAAAAAAAAAAAAAAAAAAAAAAAAAAACACTGTAGCAGAGCAATCTAGACGGAATTCCGTCTAGATTGCTACTGTAGCAATCCGTCTAGATTGGCAAACTAGACGGAATTCCGTCTAGGTTGTTTTCCGTCTAGGTTGGCAAACTAGACGGAATTCCGTCTAGTTTGCCCCAATCTAGACGGAAATATTCTAGACAGAACAAACTAGACGGAATTCCGTCTAGGTGAACTAATCTAGACGGGAATTGGAGCAATCTAGACGGAAATTACCGTCTAGATTGTTCGTTTTTCTACTAGTGCTCTAATGAGCAATGGTGGAGCTAGGATTTGTGTCAGTGGTGTCACCACATAACTTATCATGGTTGTATTGCATTTATATTGATAATTTATAAATTTAGCATTTTAGTGGTGTCCTGTCCTGATTTCAGTGGTGTGCCAATTAACAAATACAAGTACAAAATGTATAAAAATGTATATAATTAAAGTCGGATATTTAGTGATGTCATGTGACACTACTGGCCACCATGTGACTCCACCACTGCACATAAGTACTTAACATATATCATAATTCATAATTATCCAATAGATAATATCATATTTTAATTGAATAGTAATTTCTATTATCTACTCCACAGTTAAAAATGGCGGGAATGAAATATTCGGATGGCGTAGACTTGGGATGATGATTTTTCAGTGACGTTGATACTAGACAATGGAAAAGGCGTGAGAAAACAGGGACCAACCACAAAATTTTGCGCAATCCAAATAGCTCTATTAAATTATGCCACATCATTAAATTTGTTAAGCTGCTGAGGATTAGATGTCGCTTTGGCCGTGCTCTATCTCTGCGGACGCTGCTGCTTTTTTAAGTGGCATATTATTAGGTCTCCTTTGTTTTCCCTAATAATAATATTATTATTATAATAAAATTGTTAAGTGGTAAATAGTTTAAGTTCAGATTCTCGGTAATCTGAGCTGAGAGATCATTTTAATTTTTAATTTTTAATTTGATTTGTTCTGTACTGGTCATGTAAGCACGTGGTGTTTCCGCGCGTGGTGTTTCCTCTAGTTTTTTCCTCTAGACATCACCATCTGCTGAACTTTCCTCTAGTTTCTTCCTACGCTGGGCAAGTGGGATTAAAAATAGCAAAATAATTACATAACTTAATGTTACACTTACTTTTCACTTATATATTCGAACTTGTATTTAGTAGCAAAACAATTTAACAATTACATAAAGTTTTTTAAACTTACACTTATATACCAATTTTTTAGCAGCACTTAAATTTCCTAAAGTTTTTACAACTATTACTTAAGCATCCTAAATTTTTTACAACCAGCACTTAAATACCCTAATGTTTTTAAAACTTGCACATAAATAACCTCAGTTATGCAAACTTGATGATATTTGAGTGCAAGTTTTAAAACTTTTACGCATTTAAGTGTCAGATTTAAAACTTTAGAGTATATAAGTGCAAGTTTTAATAACTTTATGATATACAATTGTTACCAAATTAAGTGAGGATATATAAGTGCAAGTTTAAAAAATATTAGAGTATTTTCTTGCTACTAAATATAAGTGGCCGTATATAAGTGAATAGTAGATGGAACAATAGGGTATATAAGTGCTATTTAGTCTAAAATTAGATACTAAAAATGAATGATGGAAGATTTTAGCCTTTTCAGTTTGTCAGGTGATAAGGAATATTTTTTTCTTTTTGTTATTTCAGTATGTTCTAGCAATAATAGTGTTATGAAAACAATATCTATACAATTATATAAAGATCCAAGAAAGGTCATCGAAATATTCGAATCAAGTGGACATTTTGCATAAACATCCAAGACTTCGTATTTTAATTGGAACCCTAAAACTTATCCAAATTATTTCAAAATTGTCTTCTATTAATTAGTACAATTTTCTACTTACAAAGAGCATACACACACACACACGTACATACATACATATATAAAAAGAAACTGGCAATGAGCTGGCAGCCCATTTTCCAAAAGGAACTGCCGACCCATTGTCATGTGAGCCTTATATCGATGTGACTAGCAGAGAGGCTCACATGACATAAGTTTGACAGGTCATTTTGTCAAATAGGCTGTCAACTCATATATATTTTTATCATACGTATATATGTGTGTTGCAAAAGAGTTAGGGGAAGAAAGACACATTCCTTCTTTTTACAGTTCGAAACTAACTATAAATTTGTAGCTTCATTCACCATATGAGGGTAAATTAGTCCCTAACTTTTTCCTTCCCATCTAAAGATCAAATAGGAGACAAAAAACGAAAAAACTTCAAGAACTTGATTCTTGGACGTATGAGGGAAAACAATAAATACAAGGAAGCACCCTAACTCTCACAAATCAAATAATACTTCTTAAATATTAGAAAATATAATAATTATATACAAAAGTATAAAATTATTTTGTAATATTTAAATCTATGAGTATTATAACATGATCAGTTCAAAATATATATTTTTCTTCTAAACTATAGGAAGAATTTATTTTTGCACAACTCCTTATTTTTTGGCCTCTAATCATCCCTTCGAAGATTAGTTGTGTAATCTTCAAAGTACATAGTCTGAGTGGCTAGAGCAACCAGTCATCCTCTCTATTCCATAAAAACGTCTAATTGGTAACCTTCAAGATTGATGCTTAATCAACCTAAAATTGTTATAATTAAATTTTAGGAGGAAAGCTTAAAGTTTTTTATAATTTATACTTATATATTCTCACTTGTTTTGACAACACGTATATATCCTATAGTTTTTAAAATTTACACCTAAATACCCTAAAAGTTTTAAAATTTACACTTAATTATAATTAGTTAAGCAAACTTGAGAGTATTTAAGTGCAAGTTTTACAAACTTTAAGATATTTAAGTGTAAGTTTTATAAACTTTATAGTTTTTAAGTGGAAGTTTTTAAAAATTTAAGGGTATATAACTGGAAGTTTTAAAAACCCTAGGGTGTATATATAGAACGAAAAAGAGTGAGGGCATTAAGGGGCTACGTAGTTGAAACTATAAAGTATTTAAGGGCCCGTTTGGATGCAAAAAATTGGAGGGGGAAAGCAGGGGAAAGCCTGCAAAAGTTCTGAAAAAGTCAGAACTTTTGCAGGCTTTCCCCCTCTAATTTTTGTAAGGAAAAAATGCTTCCAGCCCCCAAATTCGTAACAAGTATGCTTCCCCCTCCCAAGACTTTTTCAACGCTCTAAAAAACCCCAAATTCGTAATAACTATGCTCTGAGCCCCCAAAACACAAAGCCCAAGAATTTTACACAGGTAAAGACTATAATACCCATTCTCTCTCTCTACTATTATATTCGTAATAACCATACAATCCCTCCTCTCTCCCTCCTCCTTCCCCCACCATTTTTGCCCTAGCCCCCTCCGTCCCTTCTGCAACCCTCGTGGCGGCCGAAGCTCCTCTCCGGTCTCACGGCTCGACCCCTCGCCTCCGCTCGCCCGCGGCCTCCGCTCGACCCCTCGCCTCTGTTCCCAACCCAATCCCTCCTCCCCCAGACGCCACATCAAACCCCCCTCTCCATCCCTCAGGTCCATCATCCCCCACCATCTATAGTGCTGTCGTTCTTGGAAATTATTGTACTTTATGTCTTTTCATACAACTTGTGCGTGTGTGTTAAATACTTCATTCATCTTTTTCTGCAGGGAAATTTACCGTGGTTGTTAAGGTTATACGCGTTGCTTGTTAAGGTTACGTGTTGGTTGTTAAGGTTATACGCGTTGCTTGTTAAGGTTATATGCGTTGGTTGTTAAGGTTTAGGGTTGCTTGTTAATGTATACGGGTTGCTTGTTAAAGTTACGCGTTGGTTGTTAAGATTAACCGTAACCTTAACAAGTAATCCGTAACATTAACAACCAACGTGTAACCTTAACAAGCAACCCAAAACCTTAACAACCAACGCATATAACTTTAACAACCAACACGTGACCTTAACAACCAACGTATAACCTTAACAAGCAACATGTAACCTTAACAACCAACACGTAAATCGTTTGGCTTTTGAAAATTCGTAACCTTAACAACCAACACGTAACCTTAACAAGCAACCTGAAACCTTAACAACCAACGCATATAACTTTAACAACCAACACGTGACCTTAACAACCAACGTATAACCTTAACAAGCAACCTGTAACCTTAACAACCAACACGTAAATCGTTTGGCTTTTGAAAATTCGTAACATTAACAACCAACGCGTAACCTTAACAAGCAACCCGATAACCTATAACTTTAACAACCAACACATAAATCGTTTGGCTTTTGAAAATTTCATTAAAATTAAAAGTGAAATATTATTACAAAATCTAGCTCACTCCCACTACCTAAAACAAATGTATGCATCATCGTCTTCTTCCTCTACCCTGTCAACGGTCTCAAAACCATGGCAGTCCACCTCCTCAGTGAGTGTTGAGTGGTAAAATGAAAGTAATCATACATTGCACAGTTTTATGTGGTGCTGTAAGCATGAATTTTCTGAAGGAAAGTATAGAATTGTTACTGCTTTTTATTTTATGAAGTTATGAATTATTATAGTAGAAGTACAAAAAATTAAAGCTTTTTTTCTATTTCCTTCCTTTTTTTATTTTTATGAAGGTTTTACGAGTTGCTTGTGAAGGTTACGGGTTTGCTTGTTAAGGTTACACGTTGGTTGTGAATGTTACGCGTTGATTGTTAAGGTTACGGGTTGGTTGTTAAGGTTACGGGTTGGT